AACCTAATTGAAACTAATATTTACTATATTTTCTTTGCTTCGAAAGCACATGAGCTCCACAAAACAGTCAACGTATATATCTTAAACGTTTTATTGTAAAAGCTAATACATTTCTATATTAGTGAAAAATATACATCTTTCAAAAATTTCACCAGGAAGGCTCTAAGATCAGTAGGAGCACTCAGCATCATTGGCTACACCGTTGTTACAAAGTGAGTTATAGAATTTAATGGATTTGAAAAATCAGAGACATCAATTGGCCTGGTTTAGCCTGAAGGTCAGGCTAGGCCAGGCCGGAAAAAAGTGGCCTGTTGACATCTCTGGTTAGAATTAAACAACCATCTATACGTGTTGTAAATGATTGGTCAAGTAATCATGAACGATGAAGTACATAAAAAAATTTTAGAAACAAACAGCAAAACAAATGTTTTTAAATTATTTTTTCGTTTAGATTTATTTCGATTTCGATATAGTAAATGATTTAGCACATTTGAGAAATATTGCGTGTCGTAATCAATCACATGGATGTTTGTAGACAGAAGATTATTAATCATATACAGTACATTTTCTAGAATCATTTTTAAAAACTAATCATTTCTTTTTTTCTTATCGTTAAAGATTCATTTACAAATGTGTACATCTGAACATTTTCTATGTCAATATTATTCAATACTGTTTACGGATCAAATTTTATATAAACAACATTATAGAACTTGTCGAAAAGCTTTAGTTTCATATTCATACAAGAAGTTCGGATGTAATGTTAAGGTATAATTTTTCTGTTTTGCTCACAAATATTAATATAAATTAAAATTGATTGAATTATCTACCCATAAGAGTTTAAGGGATTAGACTTTTTTGTTATTTTTGAATGAACAACACTAGTAATTGAATTCAAATTCGATTCTATACATTATTTATTTCAACGAAGAATTTACTGAAATATACTTAAATGAACGCGAAAATATAAAATGTCATTGAGAAATCGTTTTCTACTTATATAAAGATATGTTAATGGTATAACTAAAGTTTTACATATGTGTGTTTGATCGAGTATAGTACTTTGTGTTTGTTAATGTATTTCAATATTGATCTTTTTGAAAAAGATGTGATATTCATAGAAACTATCTAGTGTCAGAAGACAAACTTTTGAAAATGCAGTTTATTCTGTCAAAAAAACATTTCATATGCTGAATAGCATTAATTTTTTAAAATGATTAACTGGAAGTTGCTAATAAAATTGAAATTGATCTTAGTCTCAAATGTTTTTATTTGAAAATTGTATATCTAATTACGGCTCTAAGATCACATTTGTTTTATCAGTTAGCGTTGAGTATGATTTCAGACAGATAGAGACTGATTTCGATGCACTAAAATGTGCATCATTTTACGATAGAAAAATGATAACGAAAAAAAAAAAGATTTTTATTTTCTTCATATGAAAACTTAAAAATCCGTTTACTTATTAATCTAATTTGACAAAAATACTTGGATAGAAACTGTATAATTTAAACAGTTAACTTATAACGAACTAAAAGTTGGTTACATAATAAGTAGAGTGTTGCTGTTTTATCCTTTTCATATCTTTCAAACGGTTCAACAAATATATCCTCTATATAAGAAAAACTTTTCTTTAAGTTTCTAAGAAAAACTAAAAAAGTACTTCCACCTCTTCGCCCCCCCCAAAAAAAACCTGTTTCATCAATATTTTTCTACATCTTATTTAAGGTCATAGACAAGAGAATAATTTCTAGAAAAGTTAGTAAAAGTATTCTTTTCGTTGAGCAAACTCAAATGAATTATACTAGTGAAAAGATTTTTTTTCTTGTTCACTCCAATGCAAAAGTTATGAGAAATGCCGAATGCTAATGCAGCAGTGTTTCGAATAGTATGATTTCAATTTGACTATCTAAGTTTTTTTAGTTACGTTGAAATGGTATTATATGATATAAGTATACGTAGTGTAAACTCAAGTTACTTCTAAAAAGTAAATTGCGTTTCAAATGATTATGAATTAAGCAATTATTTTCATCATACTATGGACAACATTTTGACAAAAATGTGTCTAAATATCTTTTAAATTTTTTCTAAATCATAGTATTTTTTTTTAAGATTCATGAAGAAGCTGTCGATAATCATATTCTAATATCATCAGTTAACCATTTACAATTGGTTAATAATTTCATTTCGTCTTTTGAAAATCAATCATTAACAACTTCCCTACAAATATTATATACCTTGTCTCTTATAACATCTACAACATAAAATTCAAATATTCAATTATTAGAAAAAGAAGTTGTTAAACAAGCTAAGACAATTGAAGAATTACATTTACAAGAAAAATATCTTCATTCAATTAATAATAAATTTGAACAAGCTACACGAAATTTATATGAAAAAGTTAATGTAGAATCATCTGAAGATGAATTAAGTGAATTACGAAAGGAATATGCATTATCAAGTTTATTTAATCGTGACAATAAAACATATTTATGGTATATTGATAATATTGAAGAATTATTAAAAAATGCAAAACAACCTTCTGAGCCATTATGTATTACTTCATCTTCATTTAATACTTCAAAATATGATTATAAAGTTATTTTAAAATTATATTTGAATGGTGATCAAATAGCACGAAATACACATTTATCATTTGATGTAATTTTAATGCGTGATAATAATAATTCCTTAATAAAATGGCCATTTTATTATGAAATTATATTATGTTTATTTCATACAAGTTGAAAAAACGAACATGTAATTCATATATTGACTACATCAGTTGTTGATAATCAATTGGATCAAAAGTCACAAATCAATGAAAATTTAAATTTTACAATACCAAAATTTTGTCCATTATGGAAATTATTTCATAAAGAATTTGGTTATAGTGATATAGATGTATATTAAGTAAATAAAAGAAGAAATTACAAATGAACAATATGTTGAAAATGTGTTTGAATGAAAATATTGATTCATTTTACAAAAATAAAAGATGACTTGATTAGGAATGAATATATATATATACAGATATTCTTGTTCTTCATCAGCTAGTAATTATTAAATTGACTTGACTAAATGTTCATAAGAGAAAGGAAACAAAAATTTTATCCACATAACATTAAAATCATTGATATTAATAAAGTGACATATGTAAATAAGAATAATTTGTTTTCAATACACAACAAAAAAGATTTTTGTTTTCTTCCAAAGAAAAGAAAAAAAAATCTTAAATGTATTTACAAACAATTAACAAATGTCATAGAGAAACGATATAAAATAGTTATTAATATTGAGTGAAAAGAATAAAGCATAAATAAATGTTTGATTGACTAATGAATGTAAGGGAAGTTAGCATGTGATTCGAGTTTTTTTCAGATCGATTCGCCTACTCAACTGTGCCAAGTATGACTTATCGTGTGCTAGATGAAGCTTTACAAACTCTATCATATAATAAATTTGGAATTTTATCCAAGAGCAAAAACAACAAACGACAAATCAAACTATAGTTTTGTACCACAGGAAAAAATAATAAAATCCAAAATTTCCTGAAACAATTCGAGCCAGAATCCGTTCCAGTTTTCAGATTTACATCATTCGATGCATCTTGACGTCCTGAACCTGATGATATCAATAAAATCCTAATCAAACCAACTCGTAAGATCCTCAAGCTCCGGAAACGTAAAAAACCACCATTTTATGATATAATTCCCGTCATTATTCGTTCAATAACCTGTGCCATCAGGAAAACCGATTTTATTCGATTCACGTTGAAGAGCTCTATCGAATGATATGTATCTCATGTCCACTGGGTAAAAACTTCAGACTCAAACTTCTCCAAAACTA